AATTCAGCCGTGTAGCCATCCGGTCCCGGAGAAGAACCATTAGGGAAAGAAAAAACAACCGATTTAATGTCCTCATTAGAGAAAGGGCTATCCAAAAAATAAGCAGAATCCGAAGGAAGATTATTTCCCACACAAATTTCACTATAGTTAGCATTAGGAGGAGCAGAAGTGTTGAACAGACTATTAAAATGTTTAATAAGGGCTTTGGCAATATCCTGATGATTAGAGTAGTCCCCATCCGGAGTTGACAACACTTTTAAAGTGTTAATTTTCTTTCTAGATCTGATTTTAGCATACAGGAATCCAAGATCCTCTTCCCCGTTAGAAGCCATTTAATCTTGGCTCTTTGAAGAGTCCAAGAGGCCCAATGAGTATGATAATCAGAGAGAAGATCATTAGTGTTTTTAAGCAAGGAACTTATAGAATAATCCAAAGGATTATTATTAATATCATTAAGCAAATTCCTCTGTTTATTCTTTAGATCCTCAATACCCTTAAAAATGAAATTGGAAGAATTCCAGTTTTTCTTTTTCAGCATCCACTTAAGAGTCTGAAGACTAGAGTAAAACGAAGCTATAGGACTAGAGGCCAGGTTGCTTTGAAAAGGTTCCAGCACTAATTCCCTAAATCCATCCATCTTAGACCAAAATTTTTTGAAAAGGAATATGGAGGCTATAAACTGAATGGAATCAGTGTAGAGGATAAGCAGAGAATGATCAGAACACTGAGGAGCATCCACAATATAATACGAATTAGGAAAGAGATTCAACCAATCATTATTAATCAAAGCTCTATCAAGTCTGCAGTGAATAGGGTTATCTTTTTGTTGGTTAAACCATGTGTAAAAAAGACTAACCGATGCAAGGTCAAGAAGACCACAGTCGAAAATGGTTTTATTAAAATCAACCATCCTGCTATGAGATAAGGGAATACCACCAGTTTTTTCATTCTCATAACAGCAACAATTAAAGTCACCCATCAAAATCCAGGGATGAGACATGCCGAGAGAGATGTCATTAATACTGGTCCAGAGATTTTTCCTATCCTCCGGAGAGTTAGCCGCATAAATTATAGAAATATAGAAAGAATAATGAAGACCTAAATCAACTTTCCCATGAATAATTTTATTAGTAATAATAGTCAGGCTAAAAGAAATGTGAGTAGAGTCCCATTTGACCCAAATCCTGCCCGGAGATGAAATTTTAAAGTTGTTACAAGAACCCTTATTCTCATAAAGCTTATGAGAATTAATAAACCAATCATCCTCAAGCATAGAGTTCTGGACTTTAGCCTCAAGAATACAAAACAGTTTTAACTTATGTTTAGAGATATTTCTACAAGCAAAAATTTTTCCGGGGTTGTTAAACCCTCTAACATTCCAGCAAGCAAACTGGGAAGAAATCATCTTGATTTTGAGGAAGAGGGTTTTGCCTTTTTGGCATTTTTTGCTTTGGAGGATTTTTGATTTGGTGGTGGAATAGGAGGCTGAGAAGGAGGTTTGTTAATATTGGGAGAATTTTGAGAAGGGGAATTGTTTTTGGATAAATCTTTGACTTGAGGAGATTTTCCATGCTGAATTGAAGAGATCTCCTCTATTTCATTTTCCTAGTTAAAAATTAAAGAGTCTTCCTCCACAAGCAGATTAAACTTATTAGTTGTATTGATTCCCTTTCCATTGTTCACCATAAAAGTGATGTTTGGTTCAGAAGAGGACAATTCCTCGGTAGGAAAATTGAGATTAGGAATATTGGAGTCCTTACCCTTCAGTCCAGTTTCACAAAGTAATTCAGTAGGAACAACAAGTTCCTCAAGGCTTTGAGGAATACAAACTTCAATAAGAAGAGCAGCATGAGATGTAGAAGCATTCTCAGTGTTATAGGCAATAACTTGGACCGAATTAGAGGGATCAGGTGAAGGAGTTGGAAGAAGCGGGGGTAAATTAGATTTAGAGCGATTTTTTAAATGATGCTGCCTGCTGGTACTTCTTCCTCTAGGCTTCGGAAGGGTATTAGTGGTTGCAGGTTGGTTAGGGGTGGGGTTAGAAGGACACTAGTTAGATGGATGAATCAGAGAACCACAAGACTCACATGGAGTAGGTTTCCATTCATAAACAACTTTTAAAACAGATTCCTCCCCTTCAATCACAATCGGAATTTCATCTGGAAGTTTCGAGTCTTTAGATATTTGGACACATATTCTGGCATAACTAAGACGGGTGTGTTTTGCGGTAAGATCATCCACAGTTAGAGGGATACCAACGTAACTTGCAATTTTAGAAATACCCGACGGGGTCCAAAGAGCTAAAGGAAGATCTAAGATCTTGATCCAAAGAGGAACCGAAGCAGATTCGTCTCTTTTTGGTTTGAATTTTGGTGACCATTGTTGAAGAACAAATGGTTTACCAAGAAGGAACCAAGGTCCTCCGGACCAGACAAAGTTGTAATATTCAAAATTATTAAATTTAAGCAGAAAAAAACTTTCAGAAAGAGAGATTGGAGACATAGATCCTTTTAATTTCTAGAGTTTTTTCATGGAAGCAAGAAGCCTTTCGTAATACGGTCTTTGACCAATAGAATATCCCACAAGAGTAAGGTTCCAGAAAGATATACCTTCCGAGAGATCATCCGAAGAGAAAGACAGATTTTGTTCCGAAGGAACAAAAGTCATAGGAAAAACCTCAGATCTGGGTTCAGAAGCAGAGAAGTTATCCGTCCAAGGAGCCGGAAGCGTCATCGATTACTGACCATTCACCGTAGCTTTAGAGAGGGGGAAAATCATCCCTAGATCCGGCCATCAGAGCCGGAGGGGTGGGGGAGAAACCCCCTAGACGTAGGGTTTCTTCGAGAGAACGCCACTTTCTCAGAAAAAACCCTAGAGCCGCTTTCCAGTAGATCCAACTGCGCGCGGATGTAAAAATATCACTCAAAAGTTGTATATCATTGACATAAATGTATGAGTTCAACAAAATCATCGTAAAGATCAAGATCTTTATTTTTCTTCAAATTCTTATTTTTCTTTCCATAGAGGATAGCTTCTTTAAGTTTCTCTAAGAAAATCCACAAACGTATCTGGCTTTCAAGATTTTCTCGCACTAAAGCAAACAACTATTAATATGTATAATGGGCTACCCAAAAAAGCCCAAGTAAGTAGCTCTAAACTTTATTACAGGCCTAATAATAGATCGGATTAATGGGCCCATTAAAGTTGATTTAAGTTATGCTATGAAGAATTCTTCTATTACATAAATAGTTTCTCATCATAGCCTGATGGAAAATCTGATTTGATCACAAAAGAATATTACATATTATATAATTCATAATTTTTTTAGAGTACATTTAATAAAGTTAATAGGCAAAAGTATATTTAGCCTTCCTATCAAAAAACTCTTTGCTATTGTTTTCTTATTATTATTGTTAAAAAAAAATACATTAAAAATTACATTAAACAATAATAAAAAAATTTCTTTTAATCAGAATCTTATAGACTGTCTTAGACAGCTTTCTTATTGCTTCTTAAAAAAGCATTTTACTAAAAAAAATTTCAAATTTTTATCAAAAATCTGCTTTAAGAAGCAGCAAAAAAATCGTCCCGAATGAATCCTTAATTTAATTGATAGTCTGATAAAATTAAATAAGTTCAATCACGATTTTAAAAATTATTTTTCATCTTAATTTATTGTGGGCTCTCATATAAAGTTGTGATGAGAAATTTTTTATCAAGATATTTTGAGAAATATTTTACTTGAAATAGATCTAAAAGTGTTTAAATTTCCTTAAGGAAGTACTAAATATTTAAAAAAATAATTTAATTTGGAAACAAAATTTAAAATTTTGAGATCAATTAGAACTAAAATTTTTAATAGAATATTTTTTTTCTAATTTTCACAAGGTTGTGAAAATCGGACCGGACAACGAACCGGAAGAAGGAGAGGTTCAAGGTTCGACCGGTTCGACCGGTCGAACCGGGGTCGAACCGGATGATGTAATAAATACTAATATTATTAAAAATTTATAACATTAATAGGATAATTACGTGAATTTAACATCAAATAAATATAATTCTAAGAATTTAAATTATATAATTTTAATAAATATCTCTCAAATAGTTCTCTCTTCTCTAACAAAACTTGTTTCATGAGGTGATAACCATATATAATGGTATCAAAAATCTCATTATTTAATAAAAAAAATTATTTTTAAAAAATGTAATGAAGTAAAATATATTATTTATATTTTATTTATCATTAAATTTTTTTTTTTTAAACTGGCCGGTTCTTTTGAACCCGGACAGGTTCGCCGGTTCACCGGTTGAACCGCCGGTTCAGTCCGGTTCAGGCCGATTCTCTGCGAAGCCGGTTTATGAACTGGACCGGATCGGACAACTGTCCGGTTCACGGTTGAACCGGCCGGTCCGATCCAATTTTTAAAACCTGGAATTTTCATACACATTTGTGGGCTATAAAACTATTAAAAAAAATTCATGAACACATTAGTGGATCTAATAAATCCTTTTAAATCACATACATAAGAATTGATTAAATCAAATATTACATATATCTTAATATCTATTTAGTAAATAAAAAATAAATTAGTAATTTTAAAGCTATAAATTTTTTTATTTAAGTGATTTAGATACCTGTATAATAATTGTATTAATAAAGTCAAAATTAATATAAAACAGACACAAAACTATAACCAAAATATAAAAGTTTAACTTTAATATAAAAAGTTAAATATATTAAACATTTTAATAATATTTTTTAGAGAAATAAAATTAAACTACTTATATACAATAAGAAGTGCACTATTAAAATTCTTATGAACACAACCATATTAAAATAAAAGAATATTCGGTTAGCAGAGAAAAGTAATGAGTTCCTTATTTATTTATATTATTTTATTTGTCCATCAAATCGTCGAAAAGGAAAGCCGCATTATTAAAAGACGAAAATTTTCTACGAAACCGGCGGCGAAGCTTCGTCGAAGCTCACTCCCACTTCCAATCTCTCCCACCCTTTAACCTCCCCACCCCTCCTTCCTACTTCTCCCACCCTCATTAAATTCTCTCTCTAGATATCTTCTGTTTCTTTCTCCAAAGCGCTTCTCTTCCCTCGCCGGAATTCATGAAGCTAATAAGCTACGCCGCCTTCTTCTCCAAGAAATTGAAATCCAAGATCAAGAAGAAGACCCGCAGCGAATCATCGTCCTTCCGATCGTCGGCGACCAACTCTTCTTCGGACGATTTGACCCCTAAATCCGTTATTCCCCGCCACGAATTCTCTGTCGCCGTCTCCGATCTCTTCGGCGTCTTCGATCGCGACGGCGATGGTAAGATCACGAAACGAGAGCTCGAGATCGTTCTGCGCAGGCTCAGCCGCGATCCCCCAACCGACGACGAGCTCACCTCCATGGTTGCAGAAATAGATCGCGACGGCGATGGTTGCATCAGCCTCGAGGAATTCGGAGCAATCGGCGTCGAAACCCTAGGCCCTCCTGCTGGAGGCAGCGAGCTCCGCGACGCCTTCGCCGTTTTTGATGCGAATGGAGATGGTAAGATCTCTGCGGAAGAGCTTCTCGGCGTCTTCCTGGCCATTGGAGACTGCGGATGTACTATGGACGATTGCCGGCGGATGATCGGCGGCGTGGATTCCGACGGAGATGGTTATGTTTGTTTTAGTGATTTTGTCCGGATGATGGACGGACAGAGATGATTGAGAGCTATGAACGGACGGTGATGATGGATGGGAGGTAGAAATTTTAAATAAATAAATAAAAGTAAGAGAATGTAAGTGAAAATATCGAATAGTCCATTTAATTGTGATTAAAGGATTTTTGGGGCTGTGTAAAAAAGAAAATTACTTTGTTACCTAATTGTTGGAGTACAAGAGAATTGTCAATTATGGAAAATTGTTGAATATGTTGAAATAAATGTGGCTGTATTTGGTCAAATTTGCTAATAAATATTTTGAACTTTACTCTCTTATTTAAATTTGTACTTAATATATTCAGAGAATTCTCTATTATATTCCAAAAATATGATGTATAATTTTTCAATCAATAAATAGCTGAAATTTTATTAGTTTAAAATTTTAAGATAATTAAGCACTAGTGTTGTCACATCAAGAAATTTATTTGATTGAGCATGGAGCTTGATGCACTATTTGAACTACAAATTTTTTTATATTAGTAACTTTAATTTTTGTAAACTTCTAATTAGAACATACAACATAATGATAGGAATTTAATAAACTTAAGATTGCGCAATTCTAACTTCATTCTAACACATAAATGGGGTGCTTGAATTTTTTGTCGAGATGATTAGAATGTCACTCGCTAGAAAATTATAAATAGGCTTATTCTTATACTTTTGAAGAGCCAACATTGTTAATTACGTGCACCAATATTGATGTCTACAATTATTAGTTAGCCCAATGCATGTTGTTTGTGCAAAAATTGATGTTTGACATCATTAACAATGCTTACACTATTAATTATCATTAATAATGTCGATGCATGCCGTCACTAATAAAGTTAATGTCCTCTGTGTTCTGGTATTTTTCTTTTCCTCAATTCCCTCAACTGCGCTTACCTCTTCCTTTCGATCAAGTGTGGGGAGTACTCGCTTCATTTAATTAAGCTCGAGGCAAAAATCATGCCGAAAATTTCAAAATTTAAATTCGGGATCATTTGAACTCCGATTTCAGCAAACTTATAGTCAAACTTAGTGTCTCGGAAATATGAACCCAACGACACCAAATACGGCTCAATCTGAGCCTAAATGAGTCCAAATCAAGGACACGAAGCACTATTGGAAGCTTCGTACCACTGCTTGAGTTACCAAACGGTTTCCAAACATGACGAGCTTATAATCGAATCGAGCGGGTCAACGAGAAGAATCCAACGAGCCAAAGATCGTCGAATTCAGAAATCATTCCAAATGTCTGACGAACGATACACACTCAAGGGATTCAATATCGGCCATCCATCCAACCACTGCCCATTTACCCTTTATCTCTCACCTATTTATGGGTCATGCCACTCCAGAAATCTATAAATAGACCCCTCATTTCTCTTGAAAAGGGACCAAAGCAAGAAGAGAAGAGGAGAAGAGAAGGAAGATAATGAAGAAGCTCCTCTTCGACCACTGCCCGAATTTCGCCGGACCACCGCTAGACCACCACTTGAGGCCCTCACTTTCGCCAGACCACCACCATAGGCCCTCACCTCTGCCGGACCATCTCCTGACGCTGTTTCTATGCTGGACCCCCACTTGTGGTCCTCACCTCCATCGGACCACTGCTGACGTCGTTGCTGCACCGGACCACCACTTGAGGCTCTCACCTCCGCCGGACCACCGCCTGACGCCGTTGCTTCACCAGACCACAACATGTGCGCCTCACTTTCGTCGGACCACCATCTAAGGCCCTCACCTCCGCCGAACCACCACCTGACGCCATTGCTCCGCCAGACCACCACTTGAGGCCCTCACCTCCACTGGACCACCGCCTGATGCCTTTACTTTATTGGACCACCACTTGAGCCCCTCGCCTCCCCTGGACCACCGCCTGACACTGTTGCTCTGCCGGACCACCACTTGAGGCCCTCACCTCCATCGGACCACCTCCTGATGTCGTTGCTCCGCCAGACCACCACTAGAGGCCGTCACATCTACCAGACCATCGCCTTGCATTATTGCTCTGCCAGACCACCACTTTAGGCTTGGACTTCTGCTGTGCTTGACTCTCAGAGTTCTCCCAAAGTGTCGCCTTTCTACAATGGCCTTTTAGACCCCAGTCTTCTGCCGACTATGGTTCTTCTGACCTCTGTTACCTACTATGGTCCTTCCGACCTCCATCACTAGACAACAGTCTTTTTGACACCAGTCACCTGCTGACTACGATCCTTCCGACCTCCGTTGCCTACGATGGTCCTTCCGACCTCCATCAATAGACAATGGTCTTTCAAACCCCAGTCTCCTGCTGACTACGATCCTTCCGACCACTATCACCTACTATAATCCTTCTGACCTCCATCAACAAACAACGATCTTTCTGATCCTGGTCTCCTGCTAACTACGGTTTTTCAGATCTTTGCCTCCTACCGACTACGATACTTCTAACATTCATCACCAGACAACGAACTTTCTGACCTCTATCCTATCGACTATGGCTGTGCCGACAAAACAAACACATCTATGTTGATTATTGTAACTCCCATTATGTAATGCGCTCTGTATGACATACATTTGTAACATCAAGCCAATGCATTCTCCCTAAGAAGGGCCTCATTTGTAATCGACTGCAAATACTAGTGGATTCATTTAAACTGGGCCAGGCCCCTTATTTTTTTTCCTTTTTTAGGGGTTTCCATATAAAAACTCTGGTGTCTCTTTTGAACGCTACACCCTCTCACTTATTTGATTGTGTGCTGGATCTTCGTACAATGCTAAGATGTTAAACTATATACTTCTCTACCACCTTGAATACTCTAGGACGCAACAGTTTGGTGCCGTATGTGGGAAAGTGATTCCCGATTGGGGGATAATTATTGCTCCAATCTCAAAAGATTGTCAATATCAACTTCTTGACATCATTCATTGCTGCATCAATATCATATGAATAAGATATGGACTGGGGGCAACTTTGACTCCAACTATAGTCAAGAAGATCCTTCCAATACTTACAACATCAAGATGATATTTCATGAAAATCTCAACAAATGCAATGATTCTTTTGATCAATAATAAGCTTCATACAGTCACCTGCTGTATTTCTACTCCATGGGCAAGGTCTTGATCTCGACCTCAAAAAGGCAGTAACGGTCTAAACAAAGACCCTTCTTTACCTGTGATTCGGGATACACGCAGCGTTCGCCTCCCTCGAATCAAGGAAAAATCAATCCCAGGGGGATTCGATTCATCATCTTCCATACAGGTTAACATCATTGTGCAAGGCTCTGACATATAATCTTGGATAGGTCCTACATCCTTGGTGGATTCTCTCGACCTCTTACATATAGGTTAACATCATTGAACAAAAGCTCTGACATACAACCTCGGATAGGTCTTACATCCTTGTTGGATTCTCTCGACCTCTTCCACACAGGTTAACGTCATCGAGCAAGGCTCTAACATACAACCCCAGATAGGTTTTACATCCTTGGTGGATTCTCTCGACCTCTTCCACACAGGTTAATGTCATTGAGCAAGGCTCTGACATATAATCTCAGATAGGTTCTACATCCTTGGTGGATTCTCTCGATCTCTTCCATACAGGTTAATGGCATCGAACAAAGGCTATGACATACAATCTCTGATAGGTCTTACATCTTTGGTGGATTATCTCGATCTCTTCCACATATATTAACATCATCAAGCAAAGCTCTGACATACAACCTCGAATAGGTCTTATATTCTTGGTTGATTCTCTCAACCTCTTCCACACATGTTAACGTCACCGAGCAAAGGCTCTGATATATAACCTCGAATTTGTTTTACATCCTTGGTGGATGCTCTCGAGCTCCTCCATACAGGTTAATATCATCGAGCAAAGGTTCTGAAATACAACCTCAGATAAGTCTTATATCCTTGGTGGATTCTCTCGATCTCTTCTATACAAGTTAATGTCATCGAGCAAAGGCTCCGACATAAAATCTTGGATAGGTCTTACATCCTTGGTGAATTCTCTCCACCTCTTCCACGCATGTTAACATCATCGAGCAAGGCTCTGACATACAACCTCGGATAGGTTTTACATCCTTGGTGGATTCTCTCGACCTCTTCCATAAATGTTAACGTCATCAAGCAAAAGCTCTGACATACAACCTCATATAGGTCATTCATCCTTGGTGGATCCTTTTAACCTCTTTCATTTTGGTTAACATCTCTAGAATGCCATTGATGGACTTCCATTGGGCTTCTCCATAAAGTTAAATTTATACCCGACGTCAGACATCTTCCTGTCGCCAGACTTTTGTTGGGCTTCTACTCGATGCTGAATTTCCTCCCGTTGTTGAATTTTTGCCCCACGTAACTTTTATCAGAATTTTACCCGATGCTTAGCTCCTTCCCATCGCTGTACTTATACACGTCGTAGGACTTTCATTAGAATTCTACCTAACACTGAGCTTCTTCCTGTCTTCGGACTTCGGCCCGTCAATGGACTTTCGTTGGTCTTCTACCTGATGCTTTACTTCTACTTGACATCAGACTTCTGCCCGTCATCGTACTTTTACTCGTCGTCGGACTCCTGCCCTTCGATGGACTTTCGTCAATAATCTACCCGATGCTTTACTTCTACTCGACGTTGGACATCTGCCTGCCGTCAAACTACTACCCATCATCGTACTTCTCCCCATCGATGGACTTTCATCAGACTTTTACACGATGTCGTACTTTTACCCGATGTTGAACTCCTACCTATCGACGGATATTCATCAGGCCTTCTACTCGACTCTATATTTCTACATGTCGTCGTACTTCTCCCCGACGTCAGAATTCTATCAGACATTGAATTTATGTACATCGTCAGACTTCTACTCGATGCCAAATTTCCACCCTTCGTCGGACTTCTATCCGTCATCATCCTCCTACCCAATGCCGTATTTCTACCCGACATTGAATTTCTACTCTTCAACGGTCTTTTTAACCTCCCTCCTTAAAGTCTCTCTCCAACCTCCATCTCCAACCAACTAACATCGGAACTCTACATGATCTCTCGAAGAATAGAGGGAGAAGGGGGGATCTCTGAACTTCCTTGCAAAGAGAGGGGCCTTGGAGGACTAATGGAAAGCCTCAATTATAAGAATAGTATGAGAAGTGGGGATCTCCAAACTTTTTTACAAAGAGAGGGGCCTTAAAGGACTAAGGGAATGCCTCAATTATAAGAATAAAGGGAGAAGGAGGATCTCCAAACTTTCTTGCACAAAGAGGGGCCTCGGGCCTGGACAGGGCCAAGGGAAAGCCTCAATTATAAGAATAGAGGG